TGCTCTATTTTTTTTTTGAAATAACTGTGTGGTCTGTCTCTTATACACATCTAGATGTGTATAAGAGACAGCTACACAGTAATACACACCGTATATTTGCACGCACGAAAGAAAATAAAATGAAGGGTACATCATCGTACTCCACACATGTCACTGCCAATAAACAACAGGTCATGCGTTAAAAAAAAAAAAAAAAAAAAAAAAAAAAAAAAAATGACAGTGTTACCAACACTAAAAAAAAAAAAAAAAAAAAAAAAAAAAAAAAGTCCATCTGTTTCATCTGTTCATTCATCCGTCGTATCAGAACGACGCATTCGTTCAGGTGATACTTATACTAACGTTTTTTTTTTTTTCTTTTTTTCTTTTTTTAAGGATGGTGCTCTTTCCCGGATGTACCTGACCGCACAGACGAGCAGATTCATTCCAGATATAGAGCATCATTGATTTGTATTATTTCTCTATGCCCCCGTAGCGACAGTCACGATTGATTCGATCGTCAGTTTTTTTTTTTTTTTTTTTTTTTTTTACGGTCGTCGTGGATTCGCTATATTTCTATAAACGCCAAGAGTCCAAGACATTTACTCTCAGGGGTATTTCAAAAATTTTCCCTACTTGAAATGGTGGCAATCGCTCAAGAAAAAAAGGAAAAAAAAAAAAGAAAGAAAGAAAGAAAAAAACAGAAAAAAAACGACAATGGAATTTTTCGCTACTGGTGATGACCGGTCCAAGAGTGACACAAGAAGAGTAATTTATTCAAGAAACGCAAAAATAATAATAATAATAATAAACAAATAAAAAAATGGTGACTTCATTATTACTGAGGTAAAACGCCGCGCTTCAATCTCCATCTCTTACATAAGATGGAATCTATCCCACCCTTCAACACAAGAGAAGAGTAATTTATTCAAGAAACGCAAAAAAAAAAAAAAAAAAAAAAACAAACAAAAAAATGGTGACTTCATTATCACTGAGGTAAAACGCCGCGCTTAAATGTCCATCTCTTAAATAAGATTGAATCTATCCCACCCTCCCTCTCTCTCTCTCTCTCTCTCTCTCTCTCTCTCTCTCTCTCTCTCTCTCTCTCTCTCTCTCTCTCTCTCTCTGTGTACGTGTGTGTGTGGGTCTGTCTCTCTCACATTTAGGACCTGGAATTTTACTGTAATCGTGGAATTACTACCATCGTTTCTCCAGTTGCAATCATGTACCTGGACGTTTTTTCCGGCGCGATACGTATCATGTCACTCCACGTCTGCACATTCAAGATGCACATTCTGGACGTGGAATTTTTTATTTTTATTTTTTTTTAACGTGGAAAGTTTTACTCAATCGTGGAATTACTGTAAATGAAATTCCGATTTGTCCACGTCATGCAATTCAGTCCGTACGCCATAAGTAGATGAAGTCCACATCTTTTTTTCTTTTTTTTAAAGTTTTTTAAAATTACTATTCAAATCATGTTATCCTCATCTTGATCCACTTCTGTAAGTTTCTTTTTTTTTTTTTTTATCCACATCTTTTTATATCCACATCTTTTTAATCCAGATCTTTATCCACTTCTGTAAGATCCGAGTTTTCCCGAGTAGAGGAGAGGAGATATCGTCCTCATGCCGTTATAAGTAGTGTGGCAATCTCATCCTTTTCTTTTTCCCTTTTCTTTTTCCCTTTTCTTTTTCCCTTTTCTGTCTTTACCATTTTTTCATTTTATTAAATTTATTTTTTATTGTCATCTGCGAAGTCTTTATGAACAGCGTTATCAATTTGTGGATTTTATTTTTTTTTATCCACAAGTTCACGTATATGTATGGATTATAACGCACATGTCCCTTTGTCTGAGCTAAGCTGTCTTCTCGATTTACGGTATGTGTGTGATCCTTCCACAGGGGCCATTTTCCTAATTACCCTTCTCGGTATCTTTCAAATTTTAACGGATGTCCTTCCTTTTTTTTCTCGTTGTGGAAGATTTTGGCGTTCTCCATCCAAAAATAAAATAAAATAATTATCATAATAATAAAAGAAAGTCGCACAATATATCTTCCAGAGAGCGGGGAAAAAAAAAACAAACCTTTTTTGGGAAGTTTCCCGAGAACCGCCACCTTACAGTAAATCCAGGATTTGCCAATTTGGGCAAAAGATAAGGGAGTTAATACTTTTTTTTTTTTTTTTTGACCTGTGATAAATGCATGTAAGGGGTAATAAGGTCACCTCCTCCTCTTCCCCCTCCTCCTCCCTCCCTCCTCCTCCTCCTCCTCCTCCTCCTCCTCCTCCTTCTCCTCCTCCAAAGGTACAATCTGGGGCGGTCCTCCTTCTCGCCGCAGATTGTACCGTTTGAGGAGGAGGAGGAGGGAGGAGGGAGGAGGAGGGGCAAGAGGTGGAGGTGACCTTATTACCCCTTACATGCATTTATCACAGGCCCAAAAAAAAAAAAGAGTATAAACCCAACCCTAAACCGGGTGTCAACTGCCTTGTCTTTTGCCCAAAGTGGCAAATCCTGGGTTTATTGCTGTCTTCTCGATTTATGTGTCGGTGAAACGTCGACGAAACAGTTTGTCTCAGCCCCTCGTTTGTTGTCTTCTTCTCCCCCTCCCCCTCTCTCTCTGCCTACGCCTTACCGGGCAGCTTTGTTTGACGATATATATATGAGAGCATGAATGGTTTAGGAATGGGAATATGAACAAGGCCATCTGCTGTATATAGATATGTAATCTGGGATTTTTCTTTTTTTGCAGACAAGAGTTTTGTCCTGGGTGGTCTTGTCCTGTCGTTTGGCCTGTGAAGGAGGGAGGGGGCGGTGCTTGCATGTGGGACTTGTCATCTAGGATCCGTTTTTGGTGATGTTGCTTGTTGCCCCCTGTTTTGTTGTATTTGGCTGTTCCCTTCCTCTTTTCTTTGCCTCTTTGCCCTTTGGCTGTGTGCAAGTGGGTCGATATGACACACGGGGGTGGGGACAGCCGCCGCTCAACCTACGGATCCACGTGGGCGGCCTTGTACGCAAGAGGTTCTTTCTGAACAGGGGGAGTTGTAAGGAAGAAGATAAAAAAATGAATTTATTTTCTTTGTTTTCTTCCTGTTTTCATGTCGCTTTTGCGCTCTGATAACTTTGTGACAATATATATATTATATATATCGTCACAAACAGAACTGCCCGGTAAACCGTAGGCAAAGAGAGAGAAGAGGACAACAAACGAGGGGCTGTGACAAACTGTTTCGTATACCGTACTGTCCTGAGTCTCCTCCTTGTCATCCATGTGTTGACGGCTCGACGCATTGCTCTTTTTTCTTTAAAAAAAAAAAAAGGAAAAGAGCTTGAACCAAAAAAAAGAACAATCCAAAGGGGAAGGAAATCAAAAGCAGTAAAAGAAAAAAAAAAAAAAAAGAATTAGCATTGATGTTTCAGACTCTGCTTCCGGGGGGGAGGAGGGGGGAGGGGATAGGAGGGGGGGGGAGAAAAGAGTAAGGAAAAAAAAAAGAAATAGCATTGATGCAAAGCAGAAGAAGGAAGAAGAAAAAGAAGAAGAAGGAAGATAAAGAGGAAGAAGGAAGAAGAAGGAAGCTGAAGTGGAAGAAGGAAGAAAGAAGGAAGAAAGAAGGAAGAAAGGAGGGGGAAAGAAGGGGGAAAGAAGAAAAAGCGGAAGAAGGAAAAAGAAGAAGAAAAGAAAGAAGGAAGGAAGATAAAGGGGAAAAGAAGGAATTTAAAAAGTACACATGAGAGGTGCTATTTTTTTGGGTTTTTTTTTTTTTTTTATAAAGGGAGTGCTTGGCACATACCTCAAAGAAGGCCCTTTCTACTAATCGACAGAGCTGAGGCAGAGATCTGCCTGAGGTATCGCCACGTGGCAATTCTCGGTCCTCACTTTTCCCATCCTCATTATTATTATTACCCTTATCCTCACCCTTGTCGTTATCCTGATGATCATCGCCCCGTTGAGGATCGTCATCATCTTTCAGCCCCGCCTTGCAGACGGAGAAGATGCCACGTAGACAATGTCGGGATCGCAGAGGACCACGACGAAGAAGACAGTCGAGGCAGCGCTCTCTTCTGAGTCGGCTTCTACACCTCAGACCCTGCCCGTCGCGACGAGGGAAATCGCATGCCACGTGGCACGCAAGCAGACGTCCTCCTGCCACGTGGCATGCAAGCAGACGTCCTCCTCTTGCCACGTGGCATCCAAGCAGACGTCCTCCTCGTCTTGCCAACGAAGAAAAAGAAGAAGTAGAAGAGAAAGAAGAAGAAGAAGAAGTAGAAGAGAAAGAAGAAGAAGAAGAGTTAGAAGAATGCGACGAAGAAGAAGAAGAGCAAGAAGAGAAAGAAGAGGAGAAAGAAGAGGAGAAAGAAGAGAAAGAAGAGAAAGAAGAGAAAGAAGAGAAAGAAGAAGAAGAAGAAGAAGGTGGAATACGATAAGACTGTGAATTTGTAGACGTCAACGAGAAAGGAAAGGAGGGGGATGATGAAATTTTCTGAGGGTTCGGGCGAGCGGAATTCCTCCTCATTGTGTTCCCGCCCTCTTTTCCGTTTCTCGAGGGCAAGGAGGAAGAAGGGCGGCTATGGTAGCCGCCATAGCTGTTGCATAATCGCAGCAACGACGTACAGCAGGATCTTTCAGCCATGGTGGTCGTTAGATTGGATGGAATTTTAAATTTAAAAAAAAAACAGATTGGATGAGACTTGGATTTGATGATGAGATAAGATTGATGTGATCCACGTATCGACAAGCAAGAGAGAGGATTGGGGGGGGGAGAGAGAGAGAGAGAGAGAGAGAGAGAGAGAGAGAGAGAGAGAGAGAGACAGACAGACAGGGAGAGAGAGAGAGAATGTGCGTTTGACAAGCAAGAGAGAGGATTGGGAGAGGGAGGGACGGGGAGAGAGAGAGAGAGAATGTGCGTTCGACAAGCAAGAGAGAGGATTGGGAGAGAGAGAGAGGATGTCCGTACGACAAGCGAGAGAGAGAGACAGGATGCACGTACGACAACCAAGAGAGAGAGAGAGATGTACATACGACGAGCGAGCGAGCGAGAGAGAGAGAGAGAGAGAGAGAGAGAGAGAGAGAGAGGATTGGGAGAGAGAGAAGACGTACGTACAACAAAAAGGGGGCTGTTTCGAATATCTAGAACGGCTACCCCCAACCCAAGAGCGTACAATAGCTCAGTGGGGACCACACCCATGAACTGTTGAAAATCCAGACCCGTGTTCAAATCCAGATGATGGAACTTGATGAGTAAACTTGTAAAACCAACTATTTCTCAATTGCCTGGGGCTGGTCAGCTTAATGATGAAGGCCGTCGCCCTTTTCATAAAAAAAAAAAGGAAAAAAAAAAAAAGAAACGGCTACCCCTGTTCCGGTAAATAGGAAGGCCCATTTCAAATATGTATCATTTCCCTCTGGGCCTACCGCCGGAAATGGGCCGTCTACCGCAGGTCTGTGGAACAAAGGGGGCCTGTTTCGAATATCTAGAGAAGCAGCTACCATATCTTCCCCCGAACACAACGCACCCTCGTTTATGACTGCATTTACCCGGAAAGATGGCTTGTGTTCATTCCGAATCAGGGTGCGTTATGTTGGGGGGAAGCCGGCCCCCCCCTGTTAGGGGAAATATGGAGCCCATGTAAAAAAATATATCATCTCCCTCTGGGCCTACCCCCGAAAATGGGGCGTCTATCCGTTACTCGGATCCACTTTGCGTATATGCCAAGGGTGGAGGAGG